ATAGAGTGAGAAATTCATGAGATCACAGTAAGAAAAAAAAAAACCATAATGCTTGCTTCATTTCTCTTCATTACCTGCCAAGTGTCAGGAATAAAACCTTGGACTCTGGGATCTAGGTCTTTTCTCTCATCTCGTATCAAATAATGGCCCATGAATTGTAGTTGAAACCGAACAGGTCCAATGCCAACTGAATAGTTATTCTTTTTCTCCTTTTTTATCTCTTCCTCTGAAATCTAGATTATTTTGAAAGTCATTTAAAATTATACCATCATTTAAATAACTACAATGCACATTTTCTGTGTGAAAAGTATCTTTTCACCTTTTAAAATGTTTAATATTTATTAAAGAAGTCCTTTACCAACTAAATCATAATCTTAACTATGAATAGCTGGCATTAAGATTTGCATCATGATTTGGGTAGCTAAAACCTGATATATTTCAAGACTATTGAGCAATACCATTAGAGGTGTGACATATGCAATTAGAATTAAACACTGGGTTAGTTTTAAGGGTACAGAGATTATTAGGCATTTAATGTTTTTCCAGGCTATCATTCATACAGATTTTCTCATTCTTTATTGCTTCATGTTTGTGCAACTGGATTACTAATAATGATTATTAACTCAGAGTAGATACTTTCTGTAAAAAAGCAAACAACAAACCTCTAGAATCAGTAACTCCAATTTATAGCTTAAAATAAATCTAATTTATAAACAATTTATATAGTCCTAATAATCACTCTAGTATATTAGAAATGGAGTTATCCTCAAAATATTACCTGGGTTGGATGTAAAGAATTTGCCAACTCATCAAATCCTAAATACTTAAGGCATCTGGCTATAAGTTGATAATCTCCCTCTTTCAAAAGTTCTGTATATTTATCCATCAAAGAGTGGATCGTTTTCATCATTTGAACAGCAATAGTTAAATCTTTTGAGGTTTTGCCTTGGTAAAGAGTAAGCAATTAAATTGTAACAGAAATCATAAAAAAGAATAAATATTTTATTATCCTTAATTTATTATCCTATCAATATGACTTAAATAAACTCACTAGTTAGCTTGATATAAAAGAGAAACTTAGAATTCAGAGGCTTGAACTTAATAATTAAAATATAAGCAAAGCACAATTAATCACATTTCATACAACACCATGGATAATTGAGAAGTAGCCATGTTAAGTATGTAGAAAAAAATAAATGCTTAATAATTTTTCAGAGAAGTTCCATAACTCATTGCTGTAGAAACCCTTTAGTGATCCTATAGGACTATGTTGTTAGTGATCATAGAGTTGGTAGCAACTCATAGCTACCCTATGCACACCAAAATGAAGCACTGCCCAGTCCTGGGCCATCCTCACAATTGCTTCCACACTTGGGCCCATTGATGTTGCCATATTGCCAATCTATCTCACTGGAGGTCTTCCTTTTTTTCTCTGACCCTCCACCTTACCAAACATGATATCCTTCTCCAGTGACTTGTGCCTCCTCACAATATGTCCAAAGTATGAGAGACAAAGTCTGGCCATTCTGGCCTCCAAGGAGCATTCTGGCTGCACTTCATCCAACACAAATCTGTTTGTTCTTTTGGCAGCCCATGGTACTTTCAATATTCTCCTCCAACACCATAACTCAAATGTATTAATTCTTCTATGGTATTCTAGTCATTGTCCAGCTTTTGCATGCATATGAGGTGATTGAAATACCATGGCTTTGGTCAGGCGCACCTTAGTCCTCAAGCTAACACTTTCGCTCTTCAACACTTTCAAAAGGTCTTGTGCAGCAGACTTGCCAAATGCAATACGTCCTTTGATATCTTGACTACTGCTTCCATGAGTGTTGATGGTTGATGCAAGAAGAATGAAGTCCTAGACAACTTCAATCCTTTCTCTGTTGTTAAGAATATTGTTTATTGGTCCAATGGTGAGGATTTTTGTTTTCTTTACATTAAAGGCTGTGCTCTTCTAATCTTCATCAGTAAATATTTTAAGTCTTCTTCACTTTAAGCAAGCAAGGTTGTTTCATATGCATATCGCAGGTTGTTAATAGTATTCCTACAATCCTGATGCTACGTTTTTCTTCATAGAACCCAGCTTCTCAGGTTATTTGCTCAGCATTCAGGTTGAATAAATATGGTGAAAGCATACAACCTTGTCACATACCTTTCTTAATTTTAAACCATTCAGTGTTCCCATATTCTGTCCAAACAACTGACTCTTGGTCCATGTAAAGATTCCTTATGAGCACAATTAAGTGTTCCAGAATACTCATACTTCACAATGTTGTCCATAGCTTCTCATGATCCAAACAATCAAAAGCCTTTACACAGTCAATAAAGCACAGGTAAACATCTTTCTGGTATTCTCTGCTTTCAGACTAGATCCATCAGATGTCAGCAATGATATCCCTCATTCCATGTCCTCTTCTGAATCTGGTTTAAACCTCTCGAAGTTCTCTGTCAATGTATGCTTGCAGCCATTTTTGTATTACCTTAAGTAAAACTTTATTTGCATGGGATATCAAAGATGTTGTCCAATTGTTCACCTCTCTTGGGAATGGGCACAAATATGGAGACCCTACAGAACTGCCCCTAGGGTTTCCAAGACTTTAATCTTTACTATATCTTTCTCCCTCGGAGTGACCATTGAATTTGAACTCCAGACATTTGGTTAACTGCTGTTATACCACTGTGCAACCAGGCCTCCTTGTAACAGAAATAAGGTTGATAAATCTCAGGTTTGTGTAAGTAGCTGGGGAACAAATCTTTCTTTCACCTATTACCCTCACATGCAGTCTTGCATATATATATATACATGCCTTAAAATATCTGGTCAAAAACTTAGCAACATTTATCGATTTCTAACTGTTGATCATACATACATATTTGGAAGCATTACTGAAGCCCTTCAGTGTTGCAGACCGTGTAAGACTAGTCAGAGGTTCGAGGTCCTCTAGGGCTGAGTGTAACAAATGAGGCCACTGGCAGTTAATGGAAAATTGCTTTCATCTTAATATTCAGGTATATATATTAAATTAATACACTGGAGCCTTTGAAAATCCACAGATAAATGTGATATTTTCCTAAAGCCGAGACTAAAGGTTGCAAGGTTAAACCTTTCTCCAAAGGATTAACTAAAAATACCTTAGCTACTTCTCGGTTCTTTGTTCTATAGACAAAGAACCCATCCTCCCTAATCCCTTTTCCAGGTGCAGCCCATTCACCTGGGTGTCTCCTGCAGAACTCTCACCTTCCCCCAACTGACCTCAGGGGCTATAGATATGTTAATTGGGCCTGAGAATCCAAGTTGCTGGCCTGGGATTCGAACCAGTGAAGTACAATGTAAAGTTACCTGAATGTCTGGAAAATTACTGATGTTAGCTATATCCTGTTTTAGTCCCTCCCAGCTTGGTGTGAAACTCCTCCCCTAAATAAAACAGAGGCCCAGGCCTCCCCAGGTTGGAAGGCATGGAGTAAAGATAGCAGTGTATTACTGGTTGGAAGGCATGGAGTAATGATTGCAGTGCATTACGGGTTGGAAGGCATGCAGTAAAGATTGCAGGGCAGTGAGTTGCTGCCTGCAGAGGCCATGATGCCTGTAGTCCCAAGCCTGCCCACCAGTGATGTATCCACCCTGGCTTTGGGGTGCCTTATTGTCTCCCTTCTTCTGTTTGTCTGTGTATTCTTTCACTATACCTATCGCTGCTGGATCTCCCCTCCTCATGAACCAAACACTCGTGACAACTATGTCGAGGGAAAACCCCGACACTTCAGTTAGTGTATTCCCTTTCCAAATCAGAGGATACAGACTTTGCTGATCTTAACTGATAAAACAATCTAGATTTGGGGAAATAGACCCTAAAGCTTATGCCTTAAACTGCCATGGTATATAGAGCAAGATGCTAGGTTTGCCAAAGCAGATTGCAGATAGTAAAATGAGGATGGGGAATTCAAAAAAATAGGACCTGATGATCATGTGTTAACCAGACATGGGTGTGAACATACTCAAGACTATGAAATCAACTGGATTTCTTAGAAATTCCATTTTGACAATTTTATGACATAATCATATCACCTGTTATCAATGTACACTCTTCTACTGATACCTATTTTCCCCTTTTGTATTCTTATTTTCTTTTCTACAACCCTCTGTAGAAACTGACTTAGTAGAACACACAGTAATCCACAAGAATCTTCAGAAGAACTAAATATGTGAGGCAGGTATGAATGGTACAAGTCTACTGAGAAGTGAAAGTTTACTCTTTGGATATCAAGGATGAGTGTCAGATTCTCCCTGGGTACCGCACCATCTTTGTTGATTTCCTTACCCATGCCCACAATTTTGCAAATGACTCTTTGTTAAAGTTATTTTTATTGTGTTTTCAATTATACTGCATATTTGCTGCTGAGATCGTCTCTAAGATTTAATTTCTTATTGGAAAAATTAGACATTGTAATACTTAACTTGAAGGATAAAATAAGATAATGCAGGCAAGGCTTCTAGCACAAATTTCTAGCTATTCTGCAAGAGAAAGGTGAGGCTTTCTGCTCCTGTAAAGATGTATAGCCTCAAAAACCCTATACAAGGTCATTATGAGCCAGAACCAACTTGATGGAACTTAACAACAATAATATAATCATTATATTTTTCATGACTCTAAAATTCAAAAATCAAGAAAATATGGAATTTCATACCTTCATCTATGCAATGTTTTTTCCATGCTTTTAAGCAAGCAGTTAGCCCTAGCATTTCCACACGAAATTTCAATGAATTACTTTTGCATGATTTTAAAAAATCTTCCAGATTCTTTATCCCTGAATTGAAATTCTCTTTCAATTCCTGTTCAATTAGCAAAGAATTCCATTTTTGCTCTTCTTTCTCTTCTTTCTTTGCAAGTGACCTGCTGTCATTCTCTCTCTTTATTAATTCAGTTTTGTTACCCTGCCCAAAAAAGAAAGAAACAAATCATGAGACATATCATGAAAATGAAAAGAGGTTACCAGATGGTCCCACTGACACTGAAATTGGCTATAAACATAAAAAGGAGACAGTTATCTAAAGGATACACACAGTGAACACTGGGCATTAATGAAGTTTTTTGTTTGTTTTGTTTTGACACAAAGCAAAAGGAAAGGGTGGAGTACCTCCCATTTTTTCTTGAATTTTTGAAGCAATTTAAGGATAGAGGCTTTACAAAGGACTGAGGAATAGTTATTATGTCTTAATGTTATCTGCAGCAGAAAATAAAGGAGTTTTGCCATATAAATATATAGCACAGTAAGAAAAGTAAAACAAAAACATTTGATAGAATTTGTGGAACCTACCTGAGTCTTTTTGCTCTTGGGTGCACCAGAATGCTTCTTTGGCTTAGTGGCTTGACTTACAATGACTTTGGAAGAGACTGGTTCTAATGAATTCCCATAAAACCGTTGAAAACGATGAAACAGTTGTTTATACTTAAGATCAGAAGGAGCTCTAGATTTTTCTGAAAAAGGAAAGACTTTAAATGAATATTACTTTTTTTTTTTTCAAAAATGTTCTAATTACTTCACATTATCCCCACACACATGAATTTTTAGTTTTGGTTTTAAACAATAATTTAGTCTGATTGTCTTTACTAAAAAGGGAACACTAGCTCAGGCTATATCTTTTATCTGCATAATTCCTTATCTTATTTAAAGGATAGAGGTAACAAAACACTCTTTTATATTCTACCTCTAAAAGCAAGTCTCAGGGTGGTACAAAAAAAAATTATTCTGGAGAGAAAGGACTTGCTAGCAGATTAGGCAGAAAGGCAGCACAGATCCTCTTCAGCAAAATTACACAAAACTGGTCAAAGCATATTCAGAGGATAGTCCCAGAAATTTGAGCTTCAGAAAAAGACATAAATATGTTGATCTAATGCTTACTGGGGCAAAGAATTTGAACAGAAATGAAAAAGGAAGCAACTTCTGATTTGGGATGAGCAACTTGGCTTGCCACAGCCATTTTGCACAGGTTTAGGCAGATTGAGAGACAAGAAATTATTCTCTTTGCAGAAGCCTGCCTGTAACTCACAGACAAAATTGCAATTGTCATTTTTCTCTTGATACTCATTTCCTCTCTGGTGACCAGAGATGAGAACTATACAAGTAGACACCGCCAGGGAAGGTCCCACACCTACTATATGGCTGGGTGCATAATTGAAGAGGGGAGAGACAACAGAAACATCCTGTGACTGGAGGCTCAGCTCCAAATCCATCCTGGTCAGTCCTGGGTTAACTCTCATTAAAAGAAGCTGCCAAATGGATTTAAGAGAAGTGGGGAAAAAGGGAAATTAAAAATAAAGGCTGATGATAGGTCAAACAGGCACAGCAAGACCATTTTGAAATTTCTAAGGCAGCTGTGAAGGCAAGGGTCCATGGTTGTTATTGTTGGGTACCACTAAGTTGGCACCAACTCATGGCCACCTCTAGCAAAACAGAATGAAACATGGCCTGGTCCTACTCCATCCTCACAATCTTTGCTGTATTTGAGAACAGTGCTGCTGCTACTATGCCAATCCTTCTTGTTGGGGGTGTTCATCATTTCCTCTGACCCTCCACTTTACCAAACATGATGTCCTTCTCCAGGACTGGCCCCTCCTACAATATATTTGAAGTATGAGAGACAAAGTTTGACTAACCTGGCTTCCAAGGACCATTCTGGCTGTACTTTGGTTTGTTCTTTTGACAGTCCACCGTACTTTTAACATTCTCCTCCAACACCATAAATCAAATTCATCAATTCTTCTATTTTCTTCCTTATTCAGTGACCACCTTTCATATGCGTATGAGGTTATTGATGTATATGGTTTAGGTCAGGTGCACCTTAGTCCTCAAACTGACATCTTGGCTCTTCAACACTTTAAAGAGGTCTTGTGCAGAGAATTTGCCTAATACAATATGTCATTTGATTGCTTGACTATTGCTTCTATGAGTATTGATGGTTGATCTGAGCAAAACAGTCTTTGACAACTTCATTCATTTCTCTATTTATCTTGATGTTGTTTATGGGTCCAGTAGTGATGATTTTTGTTTTCTTTACATTGAGATGCAACCCACACTGATCTTCATCAGGCATTATTTAAAGTCTTCTTTACTTTCAACAAGCAAGGTTGTATCATCTGCATATGTTAGGCTGCTAATCAGTCTTCCTCCAATCCTGATGCCATATTTTTCTTCATATAATCCAGCTTCTCAGATTATTTCTCAGCATACAGATGAATAGTTTTGGTGAAAGAATACAACCCTGGCACACAGCTTTTCTAATTTTAAACCATTCAGTGTTCCCCTAGTTCTGTTTGAACAATTGCCTCTCAGTCTATGTACAGTATTCTCAGGGCACAGTTAAGAGTTCTGGAACACTCATTCTCTGCAATGTTATTCATAGCTTCTCAAGATCCACACAATTGAAAGCTTTTGCATAGTCAATAAAGCACAGGTAAACATCTTTCTGGTATTCTCTGTTTTCAGCCATGATCCATCTAAAGTCAGCAATGATATTCCTCATTCTGTCCTGAATCTGGCTTGAACCCCTGGCCATTCTCTGTCTATGTACTTTGCAGTCATTTTTAAATTATCTTTAGCACAGTTTTACTTGCATACAATATTATAAATATTGTGCGATGATTTCCACATTTGATTGGGTCACCTCTCTTTGGAATGGGTGCAAATATGGGTCTCTTCCAGTCAGTTGGCCAAGTAGCTGTCTTCCAAATTTCTTGGCATAGATAAGTGAGTGTCTCCAGTGCTTCATCAGTTTGTTGAAAGATTTAAATTTGTATTCCATCAATTCCTGGAACCAAGTTATTTGCCAATGCCTTCAATGCACTTTGGACTTCTTCCTTTAGCATGATTGACTAGATTATATGCTACTTCTTGAAATGGCTTAACATTAAACATTCCTTTTTTGGTACAGTTACTCTGTGTATTCCCTTCATCTTTTTTGATGACTTCTGCATCATTCACTATTTTGTGCATAAAATCCTTCAATACCTCAAATCAAGGCTTGGATTTCCTGTCCTCCTCCCTCCACTGTAAGCACTTTATTCAATGGAAATACTTATCAGAGAGCATAAATGAAAAAAAAAAAAAATGTAAAGTCAGGATGATCCAATTGAAACTGATGTTCCTTATTGGAGAATGGCATGTATTTGCAATCCCCACAATACCAGACCCAAGACTGACAATTCTGCTCTAGGAAGTGAAGAATTTGGTAGGCAATCTTTTCAAAGGCCCCAAATGAGCCTCATCTTCCTATTTTCACACTTTTGTAATTTCCTCCTCTTTTATTTTTAAAATTTTAAACCTTTTATTGTGAACCAAGTAAAGGTTTACAGGGCAGATAATCAGGCTTACATTCAAAAACCATGCATTTCATTTCACTGTATTGTAGCAACCCAGTCCATGCACCAACAGTTAACAGCATTTGATTATTTTGTTTCTTTCTGTTTTTTTTTTGTTTGTTTGTTTTTTTGTTTGTTTGTTTTCTTTCACATTCAGCAGACCATTGTAATGATTACAATATCCTCCTTTCACAGTATTTACCTTTATTACCTTGTTTGTTTGTGTTTTTTTGGTGTCATCCCACAACTCTTCTGGTCTTGCTTTAACTGATTATATGGAGATTTTCCACTGTCTCTTTCCATAAATGTAGTCAATATGATTTCTGTGTATTCCACCTGGTGAGGACCATGTTTATAGTCATCTTTTACATTGCTTAAAAAAGGCATTTGCAATGAAGAAGTCATTGGTCTTGCAAAATTCTATCATTGATCTTCAGGATCATTTCTACTATCAATGTTATATTTTCCAATTACTGATCCTTCCTCTTTGCTTCCAACCTTTGCATTCAAATCTCCAGTAATTATCAAAACATCTTGATTACATGTTTGATCTACTTCATACTGATAAGTTGGTGCAATTCTTCGATTTCATCACCACTGGATTTATAAGTTGGTACATAAATTTGAATAATAGTATTAACTGGTCTTCATCTATCACAGACAGTGTTGTACTTTAAGAATGATCTTGGTATGTTCTTTTTGAAGATGTATGCACCACCATTCCTCTTCAATTAATCATTCTCAGCATAGTAAATCATGTGATTGTCAGATTCAAAATGACTAATGCCCAGATTTTTTATGTTTATGCATTCCACTTTATTTTTGATTTCCAATTTTCTTAGGTTCATACTTTGTACATTAATTGTTCTGATTATTAATGGATGCTACATCTGTTGCTCTTCATTTTCAGTTGTGCCCCACCAGCAAATGAAGGTTCTGAAGGTTTTACTCCATTCACATCATCTTCCTGGGTCATATTTTAAGTGCCTTCCCACTTAAGGGGCTCATCTTCTGGGACCACACCTGACAATCAGGAGCTCTTTATCATATTTCAACATTAAGCATTCTAGTGCTGACAATGTTCTACTGCTATTCATAAAGTTTTCAGTGACTACACATTTGGAAGTAGTCTGTCTCTTTTTCTTCCTAGTTTATCTTTATCTAGAAGTTCAACTGAAAACTGTCAACTATGTGTGAACCCACTGGCATTTAAAATATTGGTGGCACAGCTTCCAGAATCACAGCAACATGCAAACCACCACAGTACAATAAACTGTCAGATGAGTGGTAGAAAAGTCCATTTGGTGGTACTAAATAATTACTCTTAATTTCCCACTGTTATTTAGTGGTTGTTTTTTAATTTTATTATATTATTTTTCTTCTTCTTTTCCTACATTTTATTATCTTTACATTGTTTTTTTTTTTCTGGGTTTTTCTGAGTTTTGTTTTTAGTTCTAGTTATTTTTCCTCCTTGTATCTCGTGGAAGTGTTTTATCTTCCTGCCTCACCCAAAAGGAGACTGCAGCAACTGCAGCCATACAGCCAAGCCATAGTTGTACACTACAACTACAACCTCACTAGTGGGACAAGATCCAATATCAGCTGCTACACAACAATGCAGTGGCTAAACCAACATCTGCTATATCCAGTCTGAATTGAACTGTATTATCAGTCAAAAGGGAAGTTCATCTCCTGATTATACCCACCAGAATGAAATTGTTGAGTGCCTAAGCACTCACCAACATACATTCATCAAACTAATACAAATATGAAACCACAATGCATAAAAAGCAGCAGAAAATTTATGTTCACATGAAGAAACAAGACACAGTAACGCAACCAAATGACCAAGAGGAAAAGATAGAAAATGATTTTAAGGAAGAAGAAGCACTGAACTACTTGAAAAAGAATGCATGAGCATGATATTGAGGTATATCCAAATGTTTCATAAAATGATTGAAGAAAATAAGGGATAAGTTGGAAAAGTGTTACAGGAACCATAAAACAAAATAGATACAGCCTTGGATACAACACAAAACCTTCAAACAGAAATCCAGATGATCAATACCAAAGTATCAGAAATGGCCAATACACTGAAAGGACAAAGGAGTAGAACTGAA